AGAGAGAGAGAGAGAGAGAGAGAGAGAGAGAGAGAGAGAGGGAAGGAGGGAGGTTGCAGAAAGAAAAAGGCCTCGTAGGCAGAAACTAACATTTTCACTGCAGTCCGCAGGCAGTGACAAAAAGGGTAATGGTTGGTATGCAGACATAAAGCACAGACAGCAAAGGAAGAGGAGAATAAGTAGGGCCGATTGGAAGTGGGTCCCCCCTACCTTTAGCCGCTGGAGGGTCTCAGAAACAAGTCTGCTGCCGCACCAAACATATTCATTCTTTGCCCGACGCTGCACAACTTGTACGCTCTCCAACACATTTACAATATCGTACACTCGCCGTTTTTTCACACCTGATTTCCATCAGGCATACCCAAAGCCAATCAAACATGACAGACAAAAATAGTGTTAACACAAGACAAACCAAAAATGACAGAAAACAATAAATTAATTAAAAAAAAAGACAACCAAGCATGACTTACTCGCTCTTCTAGCATTCTAAGACTACAGAAAGCGGCCAGCCAAATGGCCAATCAAGGATCAAGCATACACATACTGCACAAATGGACAGACACGTTCATGACCGCAAAAAATGGATGATAGACTACCTTCTTAACCCGAAAAAAACGTACGTACTATTCGAATTACCTCTAGAAATCAGGTTTTCAGAAATCGCATGTTATTCGGATTAGTACCTCTGGAAATGGATGATAGACTACTAAGACTAGCAAGCAAGTCTGACTCATAGTAGCATATGCTGTGCTGGTAATGGCATCCGTAATGCGATCACTATTATCTCCACGCAATTATTACTTTCAGAATTTCAGAAACTACCTGCAGTAGGATTCCTGGGTACAAATTGTTTATGGCAGTGGCAAAGTATTTGGATGGATGGATCTGAGAGAGAGAATGCAGTGGTCTACAGTAGCATTTCTTTTTTTCTGTTTTTTTAACTTTTTTTATATTTTCTTTTTTTTATTACTTCTTCTTTTGCAACAAGTTTCCAACAGTGAGTTCTGTGTTTTTTTTTTTTGTTTTTTTTTTTTAATCCAAAAGGGAGTAGGTGGATGGATCAGAGTGAGAGATTGCAGTGGCCACCATTCGACAGGCACATTGCCATGACAAGCAGTGCAATGCAACCTCTCTGCGGCAGCATTCCTCCTTTTCTTCTTTTTTTTTTCAACAATACATGGCCTTATCGCCCTGGCTCCGTATCCATTCCGGTGAGCATCAGTCCGAGTCCTTTTCCACCGGCAAGTCATATATTTACAACAAAGAACACCCCAGGGCCTGTGCTTCCTTCCGTTTGGCGGAAGGAGACCTGGGAAAACGGAATCATTGGAAATGTGCAAAAAGAGAGGAAAGGAGAAAGGAGACGGTGGATGGATCAGAGGGAGAGAATGCGATGGCGATACCGACAGGCAGAGGGAAGGGATGGTACATAGCAGGGAAAGATAGAGATACTGGGCAGTGGCAGAGAAGTGTGTGGAGTGTGTGGCCATACCAAGTCTATTGGCGACATTTTCCAAGGATATGATAGCACCTTCCCTTCCCGCAAAAGTCCTAAAAAACCTGCGCTGCCACAGACAGATGAGCACATCCATGTGCCACCAAACACTCAGTGAATCCCTGCATTTGACACGTAGCTAGGTAGCAGCCACTTGACTCTTGCGCAAAACAGAAACATCACACACATATAGTTAGCTCATCCTTGCGTCCATGGAATGCAGAGCATGTCTAACTTAACGGTTAGATACACTACCTTTCGTAGTCACTAGAAACGGCACTGATGTTCCTCGCAATGCTGGTGCCATTACAGAAGACATGTGAAGATTTGAAGTGAACCATTTGAGGCCTTCCCAGGAGGCTAGGTAACTGTGAGGGGGTATGAAGACTCCAGAGGCTGAGTAGGAGGCAGAAGGAGAAAAGAGAATGCGGCAGAGGAACAGAAAGATAGGGAGAGAGGGAGGGAGGAGAGCGGGAAATAGGGATAGAGAGGGAGAGAGGCATAGAGGGGGAGAGAGAGAGAGAGAGAGAGAGAGAGAGAGAGAGAGAGAGAGAGAGAGAGAGAGAGAGAGAGAGAGAGAGAG